TTAATGTACATATTTTAGTTCTCCACTTCTCTTAATTCTTGAAAGTAAAAGTTGTGATGAGAATAAACGAATTAAATGCAAAAGTAGATTCATTTATTTCATAATCAGAGCATTTAACAACTGCATTCTCTGGATTTCTATGCCCATGGCCCTTCTAAATAAGGCATGATTGACACATTTGTTGTCACATTTTTTTTTTTACATCTGTGAGCTCTAATCGATCGGTTCTTAAAATTTCTACATAGTCAGTGCTTAGAAGTGTTAGAACAATGCTCCTAGTGTTGAGAGGATGAGGAGAGTTATTTGAATGCTTGCATTGTGGGTCCATCGCGAGGCAAGCAAAACTAGGCGAGGAGAAGAGGCATGAGGGGAACATGGAACCCTATGCATAAAAAAGGCTATAAGACAAGGTTCATAATAAGAAACCAACTTCCAAGAATCAAGAGCCAGTCCAACTGACAGACTAAGTGGGGTCGTCCGACTCACTTCAAGGTCTTCAGTGAGAGAAGGATCGAGCGGATGATGGAAATAAGCTGGACAACCAGGCTACAAATCTGTCGACCCAATAGAACTTCAGTGGCCTATAACCAGTCGGCTGATCCTCCTGTGTGGGAAACCATTGGAGTCCATTTTTTCAGGGGAAAAAAACTGCTTGTGCAATGTCACCAACTAAGGAAAGGAAGGCTATAACTACTTCATCACCGCCTTGTGGTGGACTGAGATGGATCAACTGCTTGGTATGAGAAGGCTCAGTCTTCATGGTTAGGAAATTTTTCTTCATGTTTATTGATGCTTATTTTTTTATTCAGAAGAGGCGATCTGAATCATCAGCTTCTCATTTCACTGATGGGGGATTATGGTCAAATTCTGATTTCAGGACTAGTTCATATAACCAGTCGGCTCATCCTCCTGTGCGGGAAATCATTGGAGTCCATTTTTTCAAAGGAAAAAAACTGCTTGTGCAATGTCACCAACTAAGGAAAGGAAGGCTATAACTACTTCATCACCGCCTTGTGGTGGACTGAGATGGATCAACTGCTTGGTATGAGAAGGCTCAATCTACATGGTTAGGATCTTCATGGTTAGGAAAGTTTTCTTCATGTTTACTGATGTTTATTTTTTGATTTAAAAGAGGCAATCTGAATCATCAACTTCTCATTTCACTGATGGGGGATTATGGTCAAATTTTGATTTCAGGACTGGTTCAGATGACTCTGGCGCTGGCCTAGAGCAAGGAAAACATGCTAAACTACCTGAATAGACCCCTTGCGACCTACAGAGATGTGACTGACTGAGGAAGGATCTCTCCTAGTTTACTGGCTTTTCAGTTGGAGAACATTGAGGACTTATATGCCCGGTTCTCTGGAATGTAGAGGGAGGAGCTGGCGGTGCTTTGGTGGGAGCTGAAAAATGTTTGTAAAACTTGTTTGATGCTATGAATCTAAACAAAAGGTGATTGTGTTGATATGTTTAAGTTTGGTGGTGAGGTTATGTACAAGAAGTTACTTTGGTGAGGACTTATCCCGACCCAAGTAACAAGGAAACCACTTCTACAATATTTTCTGTAATAAAATTATGAGTTATTATTTTTTTTAAATGAAATATAATTTTTAGAACTATTTCTCTATAATATTGTGTTGATCTAATGTACTTTTCAAAATCAAGTTACATTTTTAACAGTTGTTTTGCTTCCCTTGATGCATTATATATAAGGGTGAGTGGTTAGAGATGCTTATTTTGCTTCTCTTGCTTGGTTTCTCAACTTTTCCTTATTTTCATTCAGATGGATCCCAGTACTTGCCCCTTCTCTTTGGGTCAACTCCAGCGTCATACATGTCAGTCCTGTCACCCGAAAGGTTTCTCTGCTCCAAGAGACCTGCATCTTTTATGATTCAGTTCTACATCAAGTCGTCGATGGGTATGACTGAGTGACCAACCTATTCGGGGGAGATCTCGTTTTCTTATAAAGATAAACTCCGATGGGGCATCTGACTTCTTTTTTGCCATGAGTTGTGTTCAATTTTCAACCATTATGAAGTGCTTCTGGCTCAAATCAAGCCAAAATTTGATAGCACTCATCATGATCTACATCATCTAATACAAGCAAGCTTGGGTTCCATGTCAGCTGGAGCTGTTCACCTACGCTTTGATAGATACTTTTAATTCAGTTCGGTTGGAATGTTCCAACTACTGGGACCTGAAAACAAAATCAAATATTGGAAGTTCTGATTCTTCCTTGGTTCTTTCTTCAGCATCTAGGAAATACAGATTATCTTGAACAAAGGCATTTATAAAAAAAAATTTTATTCTACTTCAAACCTGATGTGAGGCCGAAGAAGTGGAGGGGAGGCTATTGTCAATGAATCAATACACTATTGGCAGGTTGTCAACCAAATTTTGGATTTGGATACGTTTGGCTCCATGATTACAGCAATATGTAAGGAGTCAGACACCCAAGAGGTCCAGCAATAGGTAGATGAGGCTACTCAAGTTTCTCGAAGAAACCACATAGGCAAGCCACCCGCCATGAGGCTATAACAGTGGAGAGCCAAAAGATGTCCATTGCTCATGCTGGCAAAAGGAATGTTGGTACGAATTTCATATACTCTATCTCTAAAACCTTTGTGTTGATCCAACTAGTTTCAACAATAGAGCTAATACTAATTGAGTGAAAGGCTAAGACATGTTGTCCCGAAAAGGCTGATTGTCTTCATATCATAATTTACAGGAAGGACGGAGTCTTTCCTCGGTCTCCATCTATCATCTCTTGGGCCCTCCTGGCTAATTCTGCCTTGGAGGATGTAGGAGTGGAGTTTTAAGACAAAATCTTCTTAAAAAATAACAACCTACATTATCTCATATTCATTGAGACCGACCATACATGATTTTAAAATCGTTTAGGTGATTTAGATGGAAGTCATTTCCAGGCAGAGTTATAATTCCATTGCATATTTATTGTGTTTTCCTTTCCATTACACTAGGTTTATGTTGTTTCATTTCATTCGATAAACATCGTCTTTAATTTTAGCATTTTGAGGTCGTTTGTCTAGTTACGAAATAAATCATCACCCTATAAGGCTTCCTCATGATCATATATCATGTGATATAAGTCCTAAATTTCTAATAAAATGACAAGATTGAAACATCAAATAATTTTTTTTCAAACTAATAAAGTGACAAGATTGAAACATCAAATAATTTTTTTTCAAAATATATAATGTCAAATAATAGGTTAGTTGAGATGTCACTAAGTATTCTCAGTATCTTCAACATCTCATACTCTATATTTCTTGTGTTCTATAAAAAAATTTTCCACTTTTGAGTTTTCTTATTTGATATTCCGAAGAATCAATTATGGAAACTAAAATTTAAATTCTTTGAAGATAAAACCCCAACCTTAATTGTAAGTCTTCTTAAATAACTTTGATCGTTTAAGATGTAATTAATTACAAGTGATTGCTCTTATAGGAAGTTAACGACCAATATTAATCTAAATCATATCTATTCTTCAGATTAGGGAAAAGATCTGTTGGCATAACATAGACCAAACAATATATAATAAATTTCATTGTTTGAATAATTGAGCCAATTATTAAATGGTATTTTCATTTTTTTGAGATGATATATTATTTTTAATGTTGTGTTTAATTATTTAAATAATTAAATATTCAAGATATGTTCGATTTTTATTTTAAACTCTAACAAAAATTAAAATCAACTAGGGAATTTTGAATTCTTTTTAGGGCTGAACAGCTGAAATCTACATAGAGAATGCAATCTACAACCGACCAAGGTCTCAGTGCGCCTGAACTGTTGTATGTCTGACGGCGCTCACTTAGCACTGTCCTAGTACCAGGACTCTCCTACTGTGTCGTGAGCTTGAGTCGTCCTTCGACCATAGTGCACTGGAGCTTTCTGTTAAGGGTTATGCTCTTCTATTGCTTTCTGATGGCATCCAATAAGTGACACGTTATTTTGTCCTTCAACTCTTGGATATGTTGCTCAATCTCTTTAGTGCACTCCATGTCTATATTATTTTTTTGGTGGGTTTCTTCTCTTTGCACTGCTCCTATTCTTGTTGCTATTATGAACCACTTTTACCGTACCTTTTAGAATGTTGAATCTGAATATGTCTTGTAAATCACATCCAAGGAATAGAGCATAGAATGAGAGAAAGAGAGAGAGAAAGTGAGAGTAGTAATGAAAAGGAAAATGAGGGAAAGTGTGTAATCTTTATTCTAATCATCTCATATTTATAGATAAAGGGGGTACAATATGAGAAGTCAGATTTATCCCCCCACTTAAATGAGAAAGATATAGGTTATCGTAGATATTTCACCCTTGTGGGCCCAAGGCCTTGCTGCTTTCTAGCTCGGCCAGCTGACTTGACAAAACTTTTGCCAGCTTCGCCAGGCGGATGGAGCTGAGTATGCTACTGGTCGAATGTATCCGTAAATGTTGTTGATTAGCTTTGCTTGTTGTGGGTTAGTAGGACTGCTAGATCGTAAGCATGGTTCGGTTGTCGATCCTCAATCTTCACCAAGAAACTTCTACAACAGGGTGAAACTAGTCTGTTACGTAGAGGGTAACTCTTCATAATCTAATGGACAGCTTTCCTTAAATGAGAGAACCACGGTAGGATGATTGTGATATGTTGTCCTTTCTTGATGACATTATGGGAGGAGGTTAAGTGACCTTTAGTATGATAGAATCATGGGGACTAGCTTCTCCCTCGAATTGGCTTCATCGTGATGACATGTTTGGACGACTCTTCTTCTTTCTTATGAATGAGTCTAGCTGATAGCACTTTAACCGCTCCTGTGATTTAAACAGCCTTGAATTTTCTATATCCGGACGGATATCGTTTGTGGATCCACCTTTTGGTGAACCCTATGGATAATAGGGCCTCTTTTTTTTTACCATTGTGCTATTATTGTAATGATTAGTTTTCTATAAATGAGAAATTTAGCATAATCCTCATTTTAACCAAAAAAAAAATCCAATTTTTCCTTCATGGACACATGGAACGAATCTCATTCGAATATTCCGTCCCGTCATCTTCTTCTTCGTCTCCACCCTCCCCCGAGATCCTTTTATTAACTCTCCGGCTCCAACTACGACCTCGTTCAATCCAATCCATGGCGACCTTCCCCACCCCTCTATTCTCCATCCATCATCAAACACCCAAGCGTCCTAGGCTCATTACCTCGTCAGCGGCGGGTAACGGTAGGCGTCCATGGTGGGCTCCTCTTTTCCACTCTGCGTTCTCCGGGGATCAGTGCGGTACGGAAGATCTGGTGACGGCGAGCGATTCCGATGAAGAAGCGAAGGACGACACATCGACGGCGGCGAGAATTTTCTCATCGCTGACGCCGGAGAAGGCTCGGGTTATGCGAAGGAAGCTCCGAGCGACGAAGATCTGGCATGACGCCATGTACCACTCCGCCATCGCTTCAAGGCTAGCATCTCCGGATCAGGGTTAGTGGCGTCTAGATCTCTTTTCTTTTTCAGATCGCTGTAAATAAGCTTTGATCTGCAGTTCAGAGGTTTATGCACGTTAGGTTGGGTTAGATTTTTCTCCCATTTCCCCTTTTTTCTTAGGTGGAGGATGGAAGAAGATGGGATCTGTAGTTTTTATGTTCTGTATGAAACGATATCTGCTTCTTCGCTGTGTAAACTGGTGCGAATCAGTATGTTCTTCTTTGCTGTATGAGGCTGTGGAAATCTGTTCGTATATTTCCGAATGTATCGCTCATTTCCCATCTCAAAACTCGGAAAAATTTTGAGCAGCCCGTAAGTTACAGGAAGGATTTTGGGAGGTTATAATCTCGTTATATCCCCTATAACCTCCTTGTAACTTGTCTGTATATAAAAACAGAAGCGCGACACTAAAAACAGAAGCGCGGCACTTACTAGAAAACATAAGTAGTTACAGGGAGGTTACAAGGGGTATAACACGGTTATAACCTTCTAAAATTCTCCCTGTAACATGTTTGTAAGTTACAGACGTACGTATGTCTTATGTATGCAAATTTTTCCCTCAAAACTCTGGAAAGTTTAGTTTTTTTGTGATACAGGGAGGTTACAAGGGGTATAACGCGGTTATAATCTTTTAAAATTCTTCATGTAACATGTTTGCAACGAGTGTCTTATGTTCACAAATTTTTCTCTCAAAACTTTGGAAAGTTTAGCTTTTCTGTGATC